AGAAATTAACATAAATGCACTTTTTCAAAATGGCCGTTTAATTGGTAATTTCTTTCAAATTCTTGTAAAATATGTTCTACACACAACAGACATCTAGTTTTTTGCCATGTTTTTCAGATGTGTGTTATTAAACCTGCCATAATTGGATAAATATTACAAAAACCCGTTACACCAGATCAAAACGAGACTTGAACGTGACTATAACCTCAGAAGAGTACATCCTTAATATCAATACGGAAAAACAACAACGGGAACGGAGTGAATAACTGTGACGAACATGAATAGCATCCGGAATCCATTTTATACCCATGTTATACCCATGTTACACACATGCAAGATATTTTGTCTATCTCGTGCTATTTGGCGCAAAATTTCACTCCATTGACCCATATACACACAAAAACAAAATAACACGTTGCATTTAGATACTTCAGTCTAGAAAGTTATGATTTTGATGTTAAAGTTTGATTATATATATTATACACCGTGATATTATACACCGTGATATTTATCTGCCTAAATGTATTAAGTTGTTGTGACAAGCCGACTTAGGGATCCTTATACCACTCCCTAAAGCTGTAGCTACACATTGGTAACAGTTTTTTTCCCGGCATGGCTACATCTTTAGACCGGTATTACTGTCGCTCTAACCGACTGAGCTAACTAGTCCACGGAAGTGTCCTGTGTCGTCACATGAAATTTAAAGAGGGGTTGTGGTGGGGGCGTGTTTCTGTATGGGGGGGGGGGTAGTGCTTCTGTATTTAAGAAAAAGCCAGAGTGCAGCGGGACATGATCCTGAACAATAACACTGACTCAGACGTTGGTCGGCAGCAAATCTATCTCGAAAGTTTGTACAAATATATGCCACCATGCAACTCGTGGTTTTATAGGAAAATCACAATGAACACTAAGGAAGTGCTGTATTAAATTGTATAAAAGTTCAGTCGGAACTCTCTATATTGCTAAGCTGTCAATTAAAGTAAAAGCCACAAATGCCCTCTGTAATTCTTATTCCAAACCAAGCTCTTCCTCACACACAATATACTCCTCTTTTGTACACTGTTCATCTATATAAGCTCTCCTACTAAATACATCTGACAGATATTTAAATCAAACCCACAATTGATATACACTAATACTGATCCTCAGTCAGAGTTGATAATTATTCTTTGCACTTAATGTTTGTTTTGTTATTTTCATATCCAACAGGTCAACAACTTGACGAATTGAGAGGACGTAAGTATTTATATCATTTGATTTACCACTTGTGTCATTCTACAAGAAGGCTTGGTTGTGTGCTTGTCATAGCATCCGTAAAATCACGTACAATATCCTATCACTGACCATATAATGTCCTAAAGAGAATGTACATTTAGTTTGCGTTTTCTAATTTTCGAAATTTTCGCAAAAAAAAATGTTTCCGGAAAGTATACAACATGTTACTTTAATAGCAAATTAATCCAGTTTCACTCTAGCACACTGTCCCACCTAATTTACAATTTTAGCAGGACGTTGAAACCGCAATTTTTTTCTCAGTTTTAATATTTACATGTAGAAAGGTTACGTTTACTTTTGTCATTTCATTCTATGTCATATCGTGATGCAATAAGGAAATTGTTTTCGGAATTATTTTAGTAAAATTTAGCAGAAACGACATTCGATTTATGAATTAATATTGTAACTTGAGGTTTTTTTGGAAATTTGTTTCTCCAAAGCGCATTAAATAAAATGATATTTCTTATATTAAGGGACCAGTTGCACTGTTAAAAGACAGTTGTATATTCATATAATTTTTTTTTATAGTAGGAACAGTCGGAACCCCCCC